TGGCAATAACAACACACAATGTACTAACCATTGTTACTCTCCTAAAATCTTGTTTTGAGATTTTTGTACCACTGTTTTTATTTTTTTTCTTTCTTTAAAATAACAATAACTGATGTCAAAAAAAAAGAATCATCAATGTAAGCAAGCAATTTGATGAATTTTGACAAGTATATATAATTATGTAACCGCAATTGTAACACAGAAGAAAATTCACCCACAAAAGTTGACTTGTAACACTTGCAATCCATCTCATCTGCTTTCTTTCAGCATCTAAAAATCACAGATCTGCTTTTTATTGCTATAGATTTATTTGTCTATGAATATTTCATATAAATGGAAACACACATTTAATGTCTGGATTCTTTCACTGAGCACCATGATTTTGAATTTCATGCATGCAGCATGACTTTGTTCCCTTTTATTACTGTCTGCTGCTCCTCATTGTATGGCTATGCCCTGGTTTATTTATTCATTTGCTAGTTGATAACTAGTTCTCTCTAGTTCTTAGCCATTCTAAAGAATGCTTTAATGAATATCATAAGTTTATCTTTGAATGAGTATGTAATTTTATTTCTCTATAGAATATACTTAGGGATGGATTTTGTAGATTTTTGTGCATTTTTGTAGCATTTTACAAATACATTAAGTATAGAGCTTAACGGATAAAAAAAGAAGTCATAAGAATTTAATGATTTAGGTAAACCAGATTTACATAGACTAAAGACTACAAGATAGGGCCAGCCAAATAGCTCAGTGGATTAAAACACCTGCTGAGACAGATGCAGGGGCTAGGAGTTTGATCCTCCTCCTGCAGTGCCAGCCCCACTCCCGGGGGCATGCTGAGATGACAATGGAGATTGAGACTGGGTGTGGTGGTGTGTGCCTGTAATCCCAGCACTTGGGAGGCTGTAAAAAGGAGGATCACTACGAGTCTGATCTTCACAGTGAGACCCTGTAGACCCTATACTAAAATATCAAAAAAAAAAAAAAAAGACTACTAGATAACTTCATATATTAGCTTTTTTTTTCCTTATAATTACTAGAGATTAAGCTATAGGGCACTTTATATCTTTAGCACCCTTCTATTTTTAAAAATTTTTATTTTGAGACAGAGTCTTATTAAGTTACCAGATTGCCCATGGTGGGATTGGATTTGTAGTCTTTCTGTCCCATCCTCCCAGAGTGCTGGGATTATAGGTATGCCTGGCTAGATAAGCAATTTTTGGAAAACAAAAATATTTCCTACCATGCTTCTTGTGACAGGGAAGTTGTACTGGCAACTTGATTGGCTTGGGAGCCACCTAGGAGATTGGTAAAGCACACCTTGTCTGTGTTTTAAAGGGTGATAGAGCTGTAACCTTGGAAACTATGTCTAGTCCTAGGCCTCCTGCTCCATGATGCTGTTCCCTTGGTCTGCTTTCTGTGAGCTGAGATGCTTTGCTCCATGAAGCCCTTTCACTATGATATTTCTGCATGGGTGATATCTCATCATGAGCTGAATCCTTTGAATCCATGAACCAAATACAGCTCTCCTTTAAGTCTTTGGGTATTTGTTCCAGTAACAAGAAAACTGGCTAATACCAAAACTTTGTACCAGAGAAGAGGAGTCATTGCTTTTATTTGACTATAAGGTTCAGAAACCATTGTAACTGATTTGTGGGCAGAAGTTTGGGAAAGCTTGGAGATGCAAAATAGAGAATGCTTGGGTATGGTAAGCAGAGCTTAATAGATGATTCTGGTCAGATCTCAGAAGCCCAAAGGGCTGATAGGAATGTAAACAGTAAATGCCAGGCTTGTGAGGTTTCAGTTCAGAATGAGGATTCTTTTGGGAGTTGGACTAAGAATGTTACATTCTGACAAAATTTTGTCTCCATTTTGTCCATATCCTAAGACTTTGCAGGAGGCTGGGTTTAAGGTCAGTGGCCTAATTGATTTGGAAGTGAAAAATTCAAGGTAGCCCAACATTCAGGTTATAGCATATATACTGATGACAACAT